GGTGGCCGAGGTGGCGGTCCTCGCAGCTCGGCATCTACCGGTGGCTTTGGTGCTGTGGGCTGCCAATACCAGCTCCAGACCAAGCCCCTCTGCGGCACTGTGTGCCGCCACCTGCACCCGACTGCCCGCTGCTTTCGCCGTCTCGACGACCTCTTTCATCGCCGCTTCGGCCTGGCTCCGGACCTCCGTGACTGGGCCAGACTACTGCGCCACGGTGTGCCTGTTTTTGACTAAGACATGGATCAGATTAGTTCTGCCTTGCATTCTGTGTATGCTGACGCTTCTAGTGTGTCTGGATCTTATTACCATGTGTTCTCTAGCTTAGGCGTAGCACCTGTGTGTAGTACAGACACCCCTGCTGCGTCAGGCGTAGGATCGTTTGCTTTGTCTAGTCTAGGCTCCATACTCGCTCCTCCATCGTCTGCCGCTACTGCTTCCTGGTCCTTCACCCTTGACTCCGGTGCATCTACCTGCTTCGTCCGCGACCACGCCACACTCACGCCCTTGCTGACCCCTCTTCTGGTCCTGTCATTGCTCGCAGCTACACTACCCTTCCTTGTCCAGCGGTCCCCTCTGGTTCCCTTATAGGCCTGCACATCCCTTCGTTCTCCAGGAACTTAGTTGGTGTCGGCTGTCTTCGGGACCTCGGCGTCACCACTACGTTTCCTGGTCACGAGCGATACGCTGTCTGTACAGAGGCCGCCTCAGGTTCCCCCCTTGCGACGTTCCCATGGGACCCGATGTCTGGCCTGTTTACGCTGGACACTGCCCCCCCCCCCCTCGCGGTTGGCACGTCCTCCCCGGGCCCTGCGTCTACCCAGGTCGCTACGGCTTGCTCGTGTCGGTCGCTCACTTACCCGTCGCTTCTGTGGCACCACCACCTAGGTCACCCTGCACTCCCGCGTCTGCCTCACATGTCCCAGCACTTCTTGTCCTAGGTTTCCCTGCGTCACTTCCTGCCCTCCCTCCCTCGTCTGTGCCGCCGTGCACGCCCTGTGTTGAAGGCCGGCTGCGCCATGCTCCTTGCTCCTCCTCACCCCTCCAGACCCTGCACCTGGACGTCTGGGGCCCAGGCCCCATCCCTGGACTGCGTCGCGAGCGCTAATTTCTAGTGCTCGTGGATGACAACAAGCACTACACCATGGTGTTTCCCTTGGAGCGGAAGGCTGACATGCCCGACGTTCTTATCCCATGGGTCGTAGCTGTGCGCCTCCATCGCGATCTCCCTGTGTTGTGTCTCCACTCCGACTGTGTCGGCGAGTTCGCCTCTGGTCGGCTTGGACAGTTCTGTCGTGCGGAGGGCATCACCCAGACCTACACCTTACGAGACTCCCCGCAGCAGAATGGGGTTGCTGAGCGACGCATCTGCTTGGTCATGGAGGTGGCTCGTACCTCCATGATTCATGCTGGTGCACCCCATTTTTGTGGCCGTTCACCGTTTGCTACGCTGCTCACCACCTTAACCTCTGGCCGCGCTCCTAGCGGCTGCAGGTTTTGCCGACCCTTCTTTGGATCGGGTTCCCTAGTGACCCGTCCGCGTTCCACGTCTGGGGCTGCCTCGCTCACGTCCGTACCTCTGGCACGGACAAGCTCACTGCCCGCACTGTCCCCTGTGTCTTCCTCGCTTTCCCCCTGGACTCGTCTGACTGGCACTTTTACCCCCCGCCGTCTAACCGCTTCTTTCACTCCCGCGACGCCACGTTCGACGAGTCCATCTCCTTTTACCACCGCTTTCCTAATCGCGGTCCCCCAGTTTCCCCTCCCTTGTTTCTGGTCCCCACTCCCCCGGTAGCCCCTGCTCCCCTCCCTCCCCGTCCTACTCCATCTGGTGTGTCTCACGTCACTCCCCTCCCGTCGGTTGTCCCGGTCGAGGAGTCCGCTGACTCTGGTGGCCCCGCAGTGCACTTTTTGCTGCCTGTCCCTCCCCTGTTGTCTCCTCTTCCGTCGTCGCCGCCGCAGCAGCCGCCGCCGTCGCAGCAGTAGCAGCCATTCGTGAACTCTGGGGGTCCTGGAATTCAAGAGGGTGCTTGTCCTGGGGTTTGTGTGGTGGCTTGTCCCGGCGGGCTCGGGGGTGGCACCGGTGCTGGAGAGGGTTGTTGCTCTGGGGGTGCTCCTTCTGGGGCTGGTGGAGTGGAGTGTTCCGGAGGTAGCCGTGGTGCAGCTGGCAGTCCAGGTGTTGGCGTTGAGTAACAGCAGCAGTTGCCGCCGGTGTCCGCCCTTCGCCTGCTCCGCCTTCCCTCCCCTGACCGCTCGCCTACGCCTCCCTAGCCGCCTCTTCCCCTTCCTGTCCAAGGTCTTGTGTTTCCTCTGCCGGACTAGTCCCCGACTCGTTTCCCACCTCGTTCACCTCTTGTTACTGCGACTGCAAATCCAAGGTACTGTACTGCGACTGCAAATCCAAGTATCTGTAAGCCAGCTTCTGTAAAATGCGGACGTTCTCCGTTTGCACCTGCGAAATTTTCTTCTGCTCCTTCTTCCCCCCCAATTTTGTCAGGTGTAACACGAACTGCTTCGTCGGAGACGGCAGGCATCATCTGCTGTTGACGATCGTCATCCGGACCCTGAACGCGAACGTCATCCAGGTCAGCATCTGCGAGGGGAATAAATTCCGGGATGCTGGTCGACGTGACAGGTTTGGGTATATCTGTTGCGGCAGCTTCGGAGGCTTTGGAAACTGCTTCGTCCTGTACATCAGCTTCGGCTTCGTCAGTTGCAAATGCACGCGAGCCTTCGAAAAGCCTGGCGGGGTTAGCACCTGCTGCCTGGTGGGCACGAAAAACTGGCAAGGTGAGTCGCTCATAGAAAAGACAATCACGTGAAGGGACGATTTGGTTTGAGCGAAGATCCAAAAACTTCCAGGCGTGATACTGTTTTTCGATGCCGAGGTGTACCCCCCATTTTGCCCGTTCTGAAAATTTGCCGAGTGCTGCAGTTGGAGGTCGATACTGCACGACACACCCAAAAACTCATAAAAGTTTTGTATTGCCCAGTGTACGTGTCCACTGCAGGTGCGGAGAAGAAAACTCCGGCAGTGACGTGGAAGACAGCAGGTTGTGCGTGCGACGATGACTGAATGGGCGAGTTAACGAGCAGGAAGGTTTGCTGTCCAAACGTAGCAAGTAGATGCTTCGATAAAGGTAATCACATACTGCTCCTCTTTAGGTCCAGCTTCAGGTAAGTTAAGAATATCGCTATAGACTTTCTGCATCACGTGTGGAGCCGGGAAAATGACTTGGAAACGGGTCGTGGGTAAGATTGGCGAGCGGACATGTGGTGCAAACCGTCGGGCGAGACTGCGGCTTCATCTCCGTGCCGTCAGGTAAAAGTAGACTGTTTTTATCAAGAACTGCTGCTCGGATTGAATGATTTAAAATCCCTTGTGACGGATGTCCTAACCGTTGATGCCAAATGTCCTCTGTGGCTTTGTGTCCTCATGATCGCAGATAAAAATCGGCTAAGAAATGATTAAAGGAGAAGGCGCTGGTGACACGTCAATCTCCCCTTCAACGAAACGGGTAAGTGGTAATTGGATATTTGAAGGTTCTGCTCCAGTTGCGATTGCAACATCTGACATTGCAACTTCTGTTACTGTGTGAGCAGACAGTCCTGCAACGGCTACTGGAAGACTCGGCTACTCGGTGACTTCTGCTTCAAGACTTCTTCGACGACTTCGGGTTCATCAGCTGCAAGTCCACTAATTTCGCCCCAAAGTGGAGCTGGAGTTCCTTGAAGAGCTTCACGTGTGTTATAGAACGTGCGCCAAGCGCTGGCGCTTTCATCGGCGGTGTTGAACTCCCAAGTACCCAGTGCGGTAAGAACAGCTGCTGCAGTTCGAGAAGCTGTTGGTACAGTAGTTGCCCGAAAATCAATATCCACGTGTTGATAATCTGTTTCTTCTGGGTGATCCCAGTGACCAAGTGCAAGGACGTGTTCAGAATCACCAGAAGTGCCCTGTGCCGTGAACTGAAGAACGGATACTCCATGTTGAGTAGCAGCACGACCGAGGTAAGTATTCGTTAAGCTATGCCATAACTCCTGATCCATTGTATCACTGTTCCCTTGTGTGCGAATCTTGTGCGCCAGAAGTTGAGCTGTGGAGAGAAGATTGAAACCAAGGCCGGCGACGATAAGAACGTTGGTAACGTGTAAGGAATATCCCGTGTCAACTGATTCGAGCATGACACTCCCAACAGATCTTGCCACAATAGTTTGTCCGTTTGCGACTGTGACATGTATCGGACGACGAAGTGGACGCTGGTTGGTGATGAAGCTTGTTTCAGCGAAGCACATATGCCAACCGTAACAGCTGTCGAGATACCAAGTATAGGGTCCTATAATGACTCGAGCAAGGTTAGCGTAAACGTGCGGTAAGGGAATGCCTTCAGCACTTGTGGTTTCTTCAAGTCGTGTCTCGAAATTAGTTTCTGAAACATCAACTGTTGTAACACATCCAAAAAACCCTTTTCCTGATGTTGCAGATGGAAAAACCGAACGACGATGCTGTGACGGTGGTGGATTCTGCGGTGGTTTCTGCATCTGCTGCGTCTGAGACGTCGTCCGCTGCGTTGGCTGATGTGGCTTCTGCAACTGCTGCGAACGATGATATGGTTGTGGAGTACTGCGTCGATTTTGATGTCGGCTGCGACAAGTTTGGTAAGTGTGTCCTGGTTTCTTGCAGAAATGACAGAAGGGATATTTCAGGGGAAGTCGTTGCTGCGATTTTGGATTTGAGTAAAAACTTCAATGTATCCCTTTCTTCTTATTGCGTTGTGACTGGAGGTCAAGATCTTGCTGCTCTACTTGAAGGTTCGGATTCATGCGCAGGAAGGTGCGCGTCTATCGCCATTCGGGTCCGAGGCCAGCAAGAGGGACCGTGAGATACATCTCACGAGGGAAGTATCCCCCACTCTTTTCCAGTTAATCGCATAGTGTACGGACACGATTGACGTAATCCATAACATTTACATTTGTCATCATCTGCACGTTTGTCAGCTGCGAAAGAATCTTACTCACTGTTATTGTATCTTTTGCCATGTATACCCCCTTTAAGTGGTTCCATGCAGTTTCAGCTGGCGTAAAGCTTGAATGACAAGATCGAACTCCGAACTGCTCCTTTGCTCATAAGTTTCGAACGAGAACCGTATACGCCCCGAGAGAGGCATGTAAAAAACTCTGCTGCTCCAGTTGTGTTCCCGTAACAGGATACGTAAATTCGCCAATAAAGAACGGCCATAGCCCGGCGGACTGCGCCAGAAGCTCGAATTCGAAGCTCCAGGAGTAAAAGTCAACTCCGTTAAAAGGTATAGTAGTCTTTATCTGCGTGCTGTTAAGTAAATTCGGTGGTTGAAAGACAATAACTTGTTGTTGAGGCTGTTGCTGTTGTTGAAATTGCTGTGGATGTTGCTGCTGTTGCTGTTGTTGCTATGGTTGCTGTTGATGCTGCTGTGGTTGTTGCTGAGCAGGTGAACGCCCGAATATTTAAAAGGGGTGCTGCTGCTGTTGCTGTTGCGACTGTGGCTGCTGCGCAAAAGGTGAGAAGGCAAATGAGCCAGAACTCGGAGCTGAGGCTCCACGCATATAACTTGAGCCTCCAAGACTCATTCCACTAAACGCTGACGATATTGACTGAGTTGAAAATTGTGGCTGTGCTGTTGTCTGTTATTGTACTGATGCTTGTTGTTGAGCTGTTGTCTGTGTTTGTTGGTGTTGCGCTGCAGGTGCAGTCGAAGAAATTCCTGGAGTACTGACAGAAGGCAGATTCTGCTGATGTTGCTGCATGCCGATGTGCGCATAAGCCGGTGGAAACGATCCAGAGGCTGAGAGACCAGTGGCGGCCGTGGAGACAGGTACTCCAGTAGTTCCGGAAGTAGATCCGGTAGATTGCGTTGGTATTGTTTCAGACATTTTTACAGTAGTCTTAATTCCAGACTGCTCTCATACCATGTAATAATTTGACAGGTGTTGCAGGAGACTAAGTAGAGAGCCTGCAAACACGATCACTTGAAAACCTCAAGTGTAAGCCTAGGATCTGAACTGGAATGGTAGACTAGTAAGACAGCGGAAGTCTTGTAAAAGTGAATCTGAGTATAACTCTTGTGAAAGTTGAGGTTGAACAACCTGGGCTCATGAACTTGTGGGTAATAAAAAGTTAATAATGGAAAGGCATAACAAGGATTTATAGTTCTAGGAAAGTACCTGTTCGCTAATGTACCTGTTCGTCACTATTGCGCTATGCGCCCTAAATGATAACGAAGAGATGCAACTGTTCGCGTGACTGAAACGACTGTCCTCATGACAAGCCCTTTTTGCTGACGTCATCCTACGGACTATCTTCTACAAGAGGATTCGACACTATCTACCGATAAACGACTTACAGAAATGCCAAGTATGAATCATATCACAACACCCTGTACATTTCAAAAGAAGCCCCGTATCTTTATCAATGTACTAAATTATAAGCAACATCCCAAATTGCTCCTAAAACTATATAAGACCACGTAGTACTATATTTGGGCAAATACAGGAACAGAAAATACTGGAAAAATATGCGCCACAAGTATCTTTGGAAATGCAGGGACCATACTCAATAACCATAGCCTGTGCCTTGGTTGTATCCAGTGCCATAATTGCCCTGTTGGTAACCGGGTTGCTGGTAGTTACCCACCGGATAGCCACCTTGGGGATTTGGATATCCAACACCTCCCATTCCCATGCCCATGCTTCCTGCCATGGGCCCTCCCATTGCTCCCATGCCTCCACCACCCATCCCCATACTCCCGTACCCACCACCCTGCATACCATAGCCACCACCACCACCACCACCACCACCCATTCCACCCATAGCCCCCATCCCCCCCATTCCTCCCATTCCTCCTCCCATTCCCATCCCACCGCCCATGCCTCCCAAACCTCCCATGCCCCCCATGCCTGCCCCAATACCCATGCCAGCAGCACCAGCACCGGGCCCCATAGCGCGCCCCATGGCAGCGGGCACACCCCCCTGCTGCCCGCCCTGCTGCCCCTGGCCTTGCTGCCTGGCGCTCTCCTCCTTGCGCTCGCGCGCGGACCTCAGCTTTGACTTGGGCATCACGCCCACTGAACTCAGCGGGTCGTCCGGCTCTGAGGCCCAGCCAGGGTGGGGGAGGGGGGGGGAGGGATTCGAAAGGGAGGGGTGATGGAAGAGAGGAAGGAGTGGAGCAAGTGCGAGATGAGGCAAACATGACTTAGCACGGCCACAACCATGCGCAATGCTGCGTGCATGTCAAGCGAAATCAGTCAGGCAGTACATGATGAACTCGAGGCTGTAAGTATCCCCAGCATGCTGCATGCCAATTAATGACGCACCTCTGGAGATGTTGAGGTCCACGAGGCCGGCGCTGAGCACGTCGGAGAACACACTCGACTTCTTCACATCCGCACTCGCACTCACACTCGCACCACCATCTCCCTCAGCAACAGGGGAGGTTGCTGAAGCAGGTGCTGGCACGGAGGCGGGGGGAGCGGAGTGAAGGGCGGTGGGAGGGGGAGGAGCGGGAGCAGGGGTGGAGAGAGGTGCAGCATCTGAGGCCGAGAACGCATAGGGCGCAGCAGCCTGAGCGGGGTCTGGGTAACCAGGAGCCGTGAATGCTGGCTGCTGCTGCTGCTGCTGCTGCTGTGGCAGGGGCTGTTCAGACGAGAAGGAGTAGGGTGGGGGCCCATCAGGTGGGAAGGCCTGGAAGCCCTCCTGAGAGCCCGGTGATGCTGCAGCAGCAGGAGCACCAGGTGTGGCAGCCGGGGGGCTGATGCATGTTGCTGCTGGCGGCTGCTGTTGCGGTGGCTGCTGGTACTGCTGACTTGGCTGGCCGTATTGCTGAGGCGGCTGCTGATACTGCTGAGGTGGCTGCTGATACTGCTGAGGTGGCTGTTGATATTGCTGAGGTGGCTGCTGATATTGCTGAGGTGGTTGCTGATATTGTTGAGGTGGCTGCTGATACTGTTGGGGAGGTTGCTGCTGCTGCTGCTGCTGGTAATGGTCTGGCTGTTGCTGTGCCTGCTGCTGCTGCTGGAGCTGTGAGAACGTGGCTGGGAAGGAGGAATCGCCATAGGCAGGTGGCTCTGACAAGGCATGGCAGATACGGAAGGGAGCAGGGTGGGAGGAACGAGAAACGGATTTGGTGAGGACAGTGGAGAGATAGGAAGAGCGGGCAGCATAAGAAATTTGCGGCAAAGTGAACCTTGGGATGGATGGGAGGAGTGCAGAACAAAAGAGAAAGACACAGTTGGAAGGAAAGGGCATGGCGTGTACCTCCAAACCCTGCCCCAGGTGGCTGCTGCCACTGCTGCTGCAGTGGCTGCTGTGGTGCGGAGCGCGGGTCAAAGTCGTCGTCATCAAAGCCCCCGCCCCCACCGGGGGACACAACTGCTGCAGGCGGAGCAGCAGCAGCAGGGGGAGGGGCATCGGAGGGCGGGTAGGTGTAGGGCTGTGTTGGGCCTGGGCCGTAGGCGCTGCTGCAGGGGGTTGCATGAGAGTGAAAGCGAGATAGCAAGATGTGAGGGTTGCGCAGTGCAGTCACAGTCATCTGGAAGATGGTGCATCAGGCTATCATCAGCTGGTTGAAGCTGCAAAGTTTTCAAGCAGAAACGGCTGGAAGCGAAAACGGTTTACCTTGTCGAGAGAGCCCACCTTGCCGAGAAGCCCTCCTCTTCAAACGGGCTGGCGCTGGCAGCTGCAGCACCGGCCACAGCAGCAGGTCTGGGTGCACTCTGAGGCGTGCCCAACCCGCCCCCGCCCCCGCCTGCACTGCTGCCAGCCGCACCCTCCCCCTCGTGCCCCCTCGCCCTTGCACCACCGCCCCCCGTGCTGCTGTGCTCCACCTCCTCCTCCCCCCCGTGCCTCTCCTTCCCTCCATAAGGCCTGTCCCCCTCGCCGCTGCCCCGCCCACTGTGTCCGCTGTCTGTGGAGTGAACCCTCTCAGCAGAGCCCGTGCTGTACACACTCCTGCCGTCGCCGCCGTAGCTGTTGCTGCCATAGCTGGCTGCCGGGTGCGAGTCCCGGGACTGCCTCTCGGGCTCGTGGTCGCCATACGGGTTCGATGCCCGCCCTGCACCCATCGCTGATGCACCCTTGAACCTGGTGGGAGCAGTGACAAGTGGTCAAGAGCGGTGAGTTGAGATTGAAAAGGTTCTAGATTTGAAACGTACACCAGTTTTTCAAGGCCAAGCCCACACAGTACAGCAAGTCAAGCGCTTCTGTGTGACTGCACCTGTTGCGGGTGGCAGCAGCGCGCTCCCTGAGCTCAGCGATGCGCGCCGAGTCCCTGAGCAGCGCCAGCAGCGCCTGCGCCTTGGTGCGCACGTTGAGGCCCTGGTCCTTGGCGGCGCTGTCGATGTACTGGAAGTCACACAGGCTCTGAGGGGACCATCCACCACGGGGCCAAGGGGACGGGTGAGAAGAAGAGGGGGGCTCTGTTTGGCAAACGTAGCAAACCAAAGTATAAGGCACTCATACGTTTCAAACGTATGCCACGCCTTTCATTCAAACCACAACCGCTATAGACGGACAAAAAACGGCAATTTTAGCACAACGAAAGAGATAAGCAGCAGAGACGTGCACGGAGCAGCATTGAGGTGGTACTAAGAGCGAGGAGGAGACGGCGCACACCTGGATGAAGGCAGAGCGGTCGCGGAGGTCTCTGATGACTCGCTCTGTGCCGTGCGCCACCAGGTACTCCATCACCACTAGCGACTGGCCAGATGCCGCGTGCAGTGGCAGCAGTTCACCCAGCATGGTGCAACGAGCGCGCAGCAATGAGCGCGCAGCACATTATAATGCAACAACATAGAAGAGGGCGGGGGGGTGGGGAGAGACATTAAAGCCAGCGAATGCCAGTGAACTAAGAAAGGCGCTACTACCAAACCCATATCTAAGCAAGGGCAGACGAATTCCGCATGCCTCGCGCACAGGCAACAGTGCTCAACTCACCCCGGCATGTGCACTCGCCTCAGCATGTGCACTCGCCTCTTCACGCGCACTCACCTTGTACACGTGGCGCCAGTCCTTGCCGACATCCTGGCATCGCTTCCACAGCACGTTCATGACCATGGAGTACTCGATCCTGCACAGCAGCACAGCAGCACCGCAGCACAGCAGCACCGCAGCACAGCAGCACAGCAGCAGAGCAGCAGAGCAGCAGAGCAGCAGAGCAGCACAGCAGCACCGCAGCACAGCAGCACCGCAGCACAGCAGCACCGCAGCACGGCAGCACAACAGCACCGCAGCACCGCAGCACAGCAGCACAGCAGCAGAGCAGCAGAGCAGCAGAGCAGCAGAGCAGCACAGCAGCACAGCAGCACAGCAGCACCGCAGCACAGCAGCACCGCAGCACAGCAGCACCGCAGCACGGCAGCACAACAGCACCGCAGCACCGCAGCACAGCAGCACAGCAGCACAGCAGCAGAGCAGCAGAGCAGCAGAGCAGCACAGCAGCACAGCAGCATAGCAGCACCGCGCACAGCACACCAGCACCGCGCACAGAGCCATGTAAGATGAACGCGCATGCGAGCCGGCTGAAGAAGACGACGAATCGCATTCAGTGCGACTCTTCTAGAGGAGAAACCTAAGTGCGGGAAGCTACGAAGGTCAGTAAAAAACGGCATACGCTACGCTGCAGTGTCGGGGGAGAAAGAGCGGGATGCCAGATTCACGACGCAGTAAGAGGAGCGGATCGTACGGGTTGTGCGACGCCCGCGCGAGGTCGACGAGCAGCTGACCGTGAGGCCCCCAGGGCTCGTTGGTCGTCGCGTCCAGGGTCTGCGAGGAAGGCACACACCCGCACGCATTAGCGTCAATGACCTCCAGACACAATCGCCATTCCAGACGCT